TGCTCAGAGCCCACTGCGGAAGGGCGGGGTGGAAGCCAGTGCCAAGGGACGTCAGTGCAGCAAGCAGCGTCTCCACCAGGACAAGGGGCTCCTCTTCTTGACAAAGCTGGAATTAGGCCGGGACTGGACATTCTAATTATCTCCTGATTACTCCAAAATGACCAAAAGACTTCCATTATATGAGTGAGCAGCAAGGTCATGGGAGTCCCTTGTTTTTATTTAAGGAGAAAACAGATAAAACTAAAATGCTTTCTGATCATACTCCGTAACTCTCTCTTGCGCATGTGTGTATGTATGTTTAAAAAGTGCTTGTGTACTAAACATACTGTTGTGCAAATACACTTCAGATTTAATAGCATAGTAACAATGTTTGTGCTATGTCAATATTCTACCAGTGCATCCTGTGTACCTTCTCCCTTATTGTTGGATACATAAGTTATTTCTAATTTTTCACAGTTAAAATATTAAATATAATTCAGGCTGGTACTATGTACAACTCTATTTAATTTTGTAGAATAAACTTCTTTGAAGTGGATTTATTATGCCAAAGGATGAACATATTTTAATAACTTATGAAATATATAGACAAATTACTTTAAAGATTGTATCAAATTTTTCTCCATATAAAGGTTCATTTCCCATACCTTCAGCCAACTAGCTAGTATGATTTTTAATTTTTGATAATCCAAAAGGTCCAAAACAAACAAAAACAACAGAAAGAGTTCTATCTCTTTCCCTTTTGGGTTGCTGAACATTATTTCATATGTTTGCAGAATTTGAGTAGTTACTTATGACTCATCTACTCAATACCTTGACTTACTATTTTAACCTGAGTGTCCTGAAACTAATGGCTCCATGATGTTTAAGATAAAGCATGAAAAGAATGACAAGGTTGACAACTCTCAGTATTTGCTTCAGAGTGTCGCTCACACGTTGGTCTAAACAGCAGTAACATGCACCACATGCCACGCCCAGGCCGAATACTGCCTTCTGAACACCTCACTTTCTTGGCTGTTTGCTTCTTTTTTGTCCTTGCCTCTCTGTTCAGGCTGGAATAAGCACAGTGATGTAATGTAGCCTAGCCATACAGACACTAGTGTCATGGACACTATCATTATCTCTATCTCTTTCTAGTGAACTGCCCCAGACTGCCACAGAATTACTGCCTGAGCTGATATGTGTGTGCCGGGGCTGAATAGCAGAGATCAAGTGATGGATTCCAACTCCCTTTTGTAACATGAGCTCATGAAATAACATTGATGTCTCATTTTTCTTATCTGTGGAGCTGAGCTCTTCATGTCCAACGTCTACTTTACCTGTCTGGATTGGTTTCCCGCTATTTACTCATCTAAACACTAAATTTCAAGCGTTCCATGGTTGTTACGCCTTCTGGGCCATTTTCCAAGTTTCTCTTCTGCGTACAGCTCCCTTCCTACAGACTCTGTGCATCACCCAATTCAGTGCTGGCACTTAGCTAAAGAGTTGAATAATGTCTTTTTGACTAAAAAAAAATTCAACTATAGTGAGCATTTAAATGTGTAAGGATGAAGAGAAAACCCGTGAAGAAAAAGATACAGAAAAAGTATCTGTGATAAAACACATGACACAACAGAGCATTGTAACCGAAAACAAAGAACCTTAGGGTAAGAACCATGAAGAAGGGTAAGATTAATTCTAGCTAAGTGCGGGAAGAGCACGTGTGAAGAGGGACCTCAAAGTTAAACCAGAATTTCTAGAGTATAGACCCTGTTAAGGTAGGGTCTTACCCACTGCTTTCCATCTATAGTGACGCTCATTCTGCAATAAATGACTCAGTGATCTGGAAAGTAATTTTGGTGTGTGTTTACGGGGGATTCATTGGCATAGAGAATAATCTGAGCAGAGGAAGTAAGTGGATGATTTAGCTTTGTTTTGTCCTGGTTGTGATAATGGTATACAAAGTTCTTATTTGCCAACCCTACATCTGAAAAACTTGTTGAATTATTCATTGAGATAAATTATTAATATTTTCATTACTGTACTGTGTCATCAGGCTATAAATAAAAAGTTCCTGAAATTCTCTCAATTCCTTGGTAAATCCACGTGAGAAGATTTGACACTAATATCACAGAAGTCTTCTAGAAGCTCCGTATGAACTCAGGAAAAAACAAGGTTTGAAGGGGAAGCTAAGATTTTCTGCCTCAGGCCATCAGCTCACTCACACAGCTGCACCAACATACTGCATGATTCTCCCTGATGCAACGAAGCTGGAGAGGGAAAGGTAAAAAACACACCCTCACTTCTTCTGTGTCAGAAAATGCTCTGTGCCTTTTCCTATTTAAAATGTATAGGATCTAAAAGTAAAATAAAAATAGTTAAATCTCATTGCGATGTGCCAGGCTGTTAAAAATCAGTGAATGCACTCAGTTACCTTATCTTTAACAAGAGATCAAATATGTTCGCTGGAAGAAAGACAACCCCTTTAATAAATGGTGCTGGAAAAACTGGCTCTCCATATGCCAAAGACTAAAACTAGACCCATGTCTGTCATCATGCACTAAAGTCAAAATGGATAAAGATCTAAATATTAAAACAGAGAAAATAAATCTACTAGAAGACAAAGTAGATAGAAATCTTGAAGACATAGGGATAGAGAAACAGTTCATAAACCAAACCCAAACTGCATGAGAATACCTCAAAGAATCAACAACTAGGATCTCATCTTCTTAAAAAGTTTTTGCACCTCAAAGGAAATCACCAACAAAGTGAAAAGGAAACCCACAGAATGGAAAAAATATTTTATTTAACTGTCCCTCAGACAAAGGACTTCTATCTAGTACAAATAAAGAATTGAAAAAAATCAGACCCTCCCCAAATTCAAAGACCCAATCCAAAATGGGCATGTGAGATAAATACACAGTTCTCAGATGACGAAATACAAATGGCAAATAAATACATTAAAAAATGTTCAACATCATTGGTTATTGGAGAAACACTAATTAAAACAACACTGAGATTCCATCTCACCCTACTAAGAATGGTTATCATCAAAAAATCAACCAATATGGGGTGGGATTTAGCTCAGCAGCATAAGCACCTGCCTGGCAAGTGTGAGGTCATAAATTCAAAAAGGAAAAAAAAATCAACCAATAACAAATACTGGCAGGGCTGTGGGTAAAAAGAAACCCTTCTCCACCGTTGGCGGGAGTGTAGATTGGTACAAGCACTGTGGAAAACAGTGTGGAGATTCCTCAGAAAGTAGCATTACCAGTCCCACTCAGCCCAGCTATTCCCCTCCTGGGTATTTTCCCAGAAGAATTAAAAATACAGTGACATATGTGCACCAAGATTTATAGGGCACAATTTATAATAGCTAAGTCTTAGAAACAACCCGAATGCCCATCAACTGAGGAATGGATAAAAAAGATGTGGTATGTTTATACAATGGAGTACTACTCAGCTATAAAGAAGGATAATATTGAGGCTTTTTTTGGAAAAATGGAAGCAATTTGAGATCATACTCATAAATGAAATAAATCAGACTGTCATGTAAACATTGTATTGTCTCTCTAGCGTAAAAAACTGAAAGAATAAATAAGATCCAAAATGTACAACAGATATTGTGAAAGGGGAAGAAACTGCTCAAAAGTAAAGAACAACTGAGATGGGGGAAAGGAGAAAAGAAGGGAGGGAAAACACACACGCACACACATGCACACGCGCACACACACACACACACACACGCAAGGTACCTAAGATAATAATCCTGCTAATTTCTATCAGTTCATTGAAAAGAGTGATTTGTTTTTATCCTGTTTGATCAGTGTTTCATGCCCATATTTTGTACTCTGAGCAAACTGCTTTGAAGATAACAACATGAAATATATTAACCATTATTACTCTATTATCTTTTTTAAAATTCTCTATCATTTTTATTGTTTTTTTCTCTCTAAAACAAAAAAATTAGTGACCGTGTAGTGCAAGTTACCAAAGGTGATGAAAAGTTTGAGGGGAAGCCAGCAATGGCACAATCAACGCGTCTTTTTTTAAACCCCAGTCTTTCTTTAGGATTTTAGAGTCCAATAGTGACCTGAATGGGTTTTCTGAAATGAAGATTTGCATATTCCAACTAGGAATCAAATTTATGTTTCTTAGGACTGATTCAATGGAAGTGTTAACAAACCCTGACGGCAGCTTCTCCCCACCCAGGCTCTCAGGCCCGTATCACACCGCCCTCGAAGGGCAGCCTATGTACGAGGGTTTCCTAATGAACTCAGGTCTTACTCATCTTCATCTCATTTGTAAACTGCTTAGTCTTGTGCAGAACCTGTAACATTTTTTAAATTCTCATATCCTGTTTTCTTGAATAGATTATAAATTTCTTTTCTTTTTTTTTTTTGCCTTTTTCATTTTTATCGGTACCAGGGATTGAACTCACGACTCCCTGCTTGCAAGGCAGGCGCTTATGCCGCTGAGCTAAACCCCCATCCCTGATCATAAATTTCTTAAGACTAGTGATAGTGAACCTTTTAGAGACTGAGTGCCAAACTGCAAACCAAAACCCACTTGTTTATTACAAAGTGTCACTACAACAATTAAACCTGAATACTGAGGTTTCCGTTTAGAAAAAACAACCCACACATTAATGTCTTTTGTTTTAAAATATACAGTAACATGTGCGTCATGGATTCACCCACCACTGTCTTTGATCCTATACAGATTTCATATTTCATACAAATATTAGATGATCAAAATATTTTTCAACTGTGTCTTATTTTAATGTAAGTGAAAACATCACTCATTTGATCCCTCAAAATGCTGGGATTTACTTAAGTAAATCAAGTTGATACACTTGAAAAGGGATATCCCGTTCCTTTACTATCTTAAAGATATAATTGAAGATATATAATTCCTAACCTTGTTATTTTGATTCCGAAACAGTGTGTTCAAAATACACAAATTCTAAAATAACAAGGCCAAATGAGCTTCCAGGACATTCACATTAGTGCACAGCAGCTTACCTGGGGGTGCTGGCAGCCCACGGTAGAACGTTAACTTTGCTTCTTTCTTCCGTGACTCTGGGCAAGCTTAGGACCGAGCCCACAATTCCTGAGCTGGTCTGGCAGGACACAGGGAAGTGGGGATCGCCCTCAGGGCACCCTGAGCCAGGGTGCTGGAGAGATGGCCTGCCGCTGCTCAGGAGGACAAACAGCTACCTGAAGTGAAATGTCCTATGGTCTTTTTTTTTCTCTTGAGTGTCTCAATAATCAGTTGGTCCTAATTATTTTTGTTTAGAAGAGGAGCAAGATAAAGCTCCGGACCAAGCCCACAGCTGAAAGGCAGGAAATGAAGGCACCTGACTTTCCTCCTGCTGGCCGGCACCTGCTGTCCGGCAGGCTGCTCACCGTGGCTTGCCCCTGGGGTGGTTTCTGTTGGCCTATCAGTTCCCTGCTTAGTGGTCACGAGGCCACTGCCAGTCTCTCCCCCAGAAGCCCTTTGCCAGGCCATCTGGAGCTGGGGAACATCTCCAGGCTTCCTGGCTGGAACTATTCTTTAAAATCTGCCCACTATTCCTTCCCCTCCAAGCCTGGTCCCAGGCCTCCAACCTGACCTCAACTGCTAAGACACATACATCAAGGGAAAATGTCTCTAAACATTTCAAAGTTAGTAGAGGAAATGAAGCTCTTTAGTATTCAGATATTTTTCTCACTCTGCACTCACACACCGGAGTCCATCTGGATTCATTAGTTTCAGTATAAACAGAAGTTGAACACTGGAAACTTAACAAAGCCAAAAACCTAAGTTCATATACACACTCTTTTCTCCTTCCTCCCTCAGCGAATCAGCCACCATGCTTTCTAATTTGGCTTGAGTTAGCTATTTCCTCCTAATTCTTGAATCTTTCTCCTTTTCTTCCCTGGGTACGGGCCTGTATAATCCATTTGGGGTTGCTATAACAGAATACCACAGACCAGGAAATTTATAAAGAAAAAAAAACCCCTTCTTTCTCATGGATTTAGAGGCTGCAAAGACTGAAGCATGACATTAGCATTGTTAAGGGACTTAACGGTGTTTCATACCAGGATGGAAGGCAGGAGGGCAACAGAAGGCAAACGAGAGGCAGCCAAACTTGCTTTCATAAGGAGCCCACACTCCTGATAACTAGTCTGTTCCTGAGATAACGCACTTAATGCTTTTCTGGGGCAGAGCTCTTATGACCCAGGCACCTCTCATCAGGCTCCAGCTCCAAACACTACCGCATTGGGGAATAAGTTTCCAACGTATGAACTTTGGGGGACGTGCTAAGCCCCCATGTGCAGCCTCGCCTCTAATCCAGACTTCACCCAGAAGCAGGCACTAAGACAATCTGACTAAAACTCGCTCTAAACATTTCAGGGGCTTCCCGCCCCCTCCAGTTCTGACATCCTGGAGTCCTCAGCGGAGCACGCAGGCTCCCACGACCCGCTCCCGTCTCTCTGTATCTCACGCTCTTGCCCGTCACTGCCTCTCAATCTGTATTCTATAGAGAGGATGCAGACAGTGCCTCAGTCTCACCAATCTCTCACATCTCGGTGCCTTTACTGACGCTGCTCACTGCATGAGGACTGTCTTTCTCACCTCTCACCTCCTCAAGAAGCCGTTCAGAATGGTCTTCTCCAGTACACGGTTAAATGATCTCTCTGTGCCTGTACATAATTATCTATGATTTGCAACACTGTAGTGAAGACATAGCTAGTCCTCCATAGTCTGGGGCTTCCACCAACTATGGATTTAAAACATTTGAAAAATGTTCATCTGTATTGAATAGTCTTTTTCTGGTCTTGATTCCCTAATTAATATAGTTTAACAACTATTTACATAGCACTTACATTTTATTAAGAATAAATCATCTAATGATGCTTTAAAGTAAATGAGAGGATACGCATGGGCAATCTGCAAATACTACATTTTTAATTTTATCTTATTATTAAAATATTTTGGTTTTTTGAGACAGGGTCTTGTGCAAGCTGGTGCTTGCATAGTGCAAGCTGGCCTCAAACTTGCAGTGACCCTCCTGCTCCAGCCTCCCAGGTCCTGGGGTTAGAGTGGTGCACCACTATGCCCGGCCTACATCATTTATTTATTTATATTTTTCTTCTTTTTTCTACATAGCTTAAATAAGGGATTTTGGTATCTATGGATCATGGTTATTAAAGCTGTTTTAAAATCCTTTTCCTTCACTGCATTGAAAGATTGTACAGAGCATTTTTTATATCTCCAGAATGAGGTACATAGGATTCCAATACCCCTGCTAAATAATGGCAACTCTGAGACAAGAAGATGAAACTGCAGTGCCACTCCTAACACTAACTGCTGACTGACCCATAGTTAAAATCCTGGTGACTACCTGCCTCCCAGGAAGGAAGGCAGATCCAAGCCAAAGAAGTAGCCAGGGCTGGGAATTAAGCTCAGTGGCAGAACTACCTGCCTAGCAAGTGCAAGGTTGTGAGTTCAATCTCTGGTACCAAAAAAGAAGTAGCCAGAGTCTGACTTACTTCCTGAAATGACCTCACATTCAGAACTGTAGCATTTTCCATCTTTAGGAGGCTGTCACTTGTACCCAAGTGCCTCAGAGATAAAGCTGAGGTAAGCTGCAAACAGAAAAGCTTTTGTGCCACTTGAATGATAAAACTATCCCTGATGCTTTGGGGAACTGTTTGCAAATCTGGCATCTGTAATTTTCATGAGTTGGTCTATGGACATATGGAAATAGTTTTTAATAAAAAATTAGTATTTATGTATCATTTTGTCTCTCAGAGTTCTCCTTAAGGCTCTGGGAGGCCCCAAACAAGGCGCTAAACATTGGCACACGGGGAAGTGGGAAGAAAGCCTGGCGGAAGCTGAACCAGACCTTGGCAGAACCGCGGGGGTGGGATCTGGTATGGCTTTGAAGGTGGATACGGCTACCCTGCAGGAACTGTGTTACTCATAAACTGGTTTAAGACTTTGCCTGGATGACAGTGGCAGAGCAATTAAACAACGATGGACAGACATGACCTAATTTACTGGCCTCCAGTTGCTTCACTGGAGCCAGCGTTGTACTGTGACCTACAAGTAAAAATGAGTTTTGGTGGGTGAGGAGGCAGATTGCTGAGGGTGGGGCGCGGAACCTGTGCCCTCCCTGATGTCGCCGAGGAGGAAGAGGTATCTGGAAGCAGACCAGTGTGGACCACGGGCCATACTCTTCCTTACGTGCTCCCCAATGAAAGTATGAGCCCCTTGCTGGACACCCCACTCGCATACTAGCACCTTTCCTGCAGTGAGGAGAGAAGAACCTAGAGCCAATACTTAGGAACAACTTTCCGCAGCAGAGTTCTTCCTTGGCTCCTGGAGACCCCGAAGAGCAGCTTCGCAGTGCAAGCTCAGGGGCAAATGCTACAAGCGAGCCAGCAAATTAGGCCTCACACAGCACAGTTCCCAACGTCGTTGCATACGCCTTTATGATTTCTGAATAAAAAATGACTTTTGGGGGGAAAAAAAGGAAACCATTCATAAAATACATGGCATCAGTTTTAAAGACAGGCATTGAACAAAGCCAGTGTGAAGAATTTCTGACAACAGTGGGATTCAAGGAACTCAGTTCATAAGGCCAGGATCGAATTACCTTGTGACTATTATACCATTTGTGTTTACACGAACCCATACTCAGTGGGCAGCAAAATAAAACAAAAACAACACAAGTAAAAAGTGGTTTTCCAGGTGCCAAACTGAACAGTTTGAGGGGCAGAAAGTCCCTTTGATCCTGTTAAGTGATTTTAGAGTAGGAAAATACCACCCATAAGGTTTATTATACTGTGCCAGGCATGGCCCTCTTATTTGTCTTTTTGTAGGATCCCAGGCTTTCTCCTTCCAAATGACAGGGTTTTGTGTGAAATTAGCAGTCTTTTAACTCGTGTGAAAGAGCACAGGAAAGACAGGACAAGTGCAGTCCGTGATTTAACTGCCCAGGAATCCCTTGGTGCACAACAGTCACTGAAGAACTTTATAAAAAAGTACTGCATCGACCTAGATGTAGCGCAATTAGGCTAGAACGTCTCAGGGCACCATCTGGTACTGGTAGTTCTGGTATTTCCCAGATAATTGTGATTTTATTCAGCCAAAGTTGAAAAGCTTTCTTAGCAGAGCCCGTAGCCTACAACTTGTCATCGCAGATGCCAGACAGACACATCAGATGTGCCAATTAGTCTCTGGGCACAGGCGGACACAGAGCACAGAGAAAGCAAATGCATAGCTCCCCCGGGAGGGCTGAGTCTCAGCACCCTCCACCCAGCTTCACTGCTGCAGCTGAACTGAGCAGTGGATCACCCTCACTTAGGGTCCCCCACGCTCAGTCCCCGTCCCCATCTCTTGGAGGTGTTGCAGAGTAGATATTTGGGCCTAGGCTGGCTAGAGATGCATCAGTGACCTGGTACGATGGACATGACCACCAGCATCTGGACCAGGGCGAGTAACCAACTGAGAATGCAGCAACATGAATGTGGGGTGTGATCAGCATCCCGGGAGGAGGTCAGTGCAGACTGTGAGAGGCCAGCAGAGCGAGTGGCTGGTCCCCAGGAACATCTTCATGTTCTGAGTCCTTCAAATTCTGGCTCCAGTTCAGGCATAACTTTTCCACAAAGCTTCCTTTACCTAAATTGCCAGGAATGAGACTTTCTTCCTTTCTACCCAAAGACCCTGACTGCTGCATGCATGACAGAGCCTGTCACGGTCCCTTTCTGGAAAGAAGATCCGGAGAAGAGTGAGGCAGAGACAAGACACAGCACAGAAAGGCACCTCCCAGGGTGCAGAAGCAGAGACAGGACACGGAAAGGCGCAAAGGCGAGCGTGGCGAGAGCAGCGGACACCGGAGAGAATGTTCAGGCAGGGACGCAACCCGTGAACTGGCGGTGAGAGAACACAGCATCTAAAGGACGAGGGAAGGGAACAGAAATTGAAGAGGACATGCAGTTTTACCTCCCGGCTCTGCCGTGTGGAGCAGGAAGGTGACCTCTACTGGCTGCATTCCCCAGGTTACCTGCCTAACCAGTTGCTTCTAACCAGTTTCCATGAGAAACTGCTAGGCTGGGGGTGAGAAGACAGATGTAGTCAGTGTATTTCTCCTCTTCTCTCTGCCTCATGAACAACTTCTGAAAGTGGCTGTCTCTCACATCTCCAAACCCCGGGTCACTCATGGCTCCCCTTTCTTTGGGGGGATCTCAGCCTAAGGGCTTGGATAATACCACCTGCTCCCCTTGACTCTTCAGGCAGTCCTACGGTAGAGTTGGCTTGCACTGACTCATATCAGCAGACTTTTAAATATTCAAGGATTTTGCAACTGATCGTTAAACTTGCTGGCTTGAAACTGGTCAGCACAACAAAGCAGGCGGCCCCTCCCCAGGAGAGCCAGTCACCAGTGCGAAACTGCTTCCCACCTACGGGCGGCAGAAGCTTCCTGATTGTGTCTATCTCTGGTTTGCCTCACTGCCCTGATTGTTTTCTTGCTCCTTTCTGTTACTCTGTGGCCCATTCATGACAAATATTCTATTTAAATACAGAATAATCTCCATTTTCCTGATTGGATCATGACTGACCAACAGACAATGGTCTCCTAAAGAGCTTTTCTCTAGCTGACTTGTAAGTAGGAAACATTAACTTTGTAACAGATGAAGTTCTGTTTTGTCTTCCTACCTGTCTAGACATCCTTTTAATGGCTTGTCCTTCTGGTTAGGTAGTTCTTAAAGCAAATTAGTTTTGTTATAAGTTAAAAATGTATACTACTTCTGTTACAAAAACAAACTACTTTTCCTCTGCTCTCACACCACAGCAATCCACACGAAGATTTTTGTGACCAGAACTCACGCAGTGCTTTCTGCCAGCTTTTAGTTCAATTCAGTTCTGACACTGTCAACCTGGAGCTAGTTCCCCCTCCCCACAGAGTTCAGATGCCAGCAGAAAACCCCAGATTGCTTTTCCTGTGCTTCTGTCTGGCTGAAGTCGAGATTCCCACAACCCTCTACTTACTGAACTCAGAAGAACACATTTACTGGTTTCCTATGAATAACAAAGGTATAAATGAAGATGCGGTGAGGGGCATGGAGCGCCCAGGCCCTCTCCACTGTGCGGCTCTGCAGGACCTTCCCCTTGTGGCCGCGCCTTGAACCCTGGCACTTGGGGCTTGTCTGGAGACCCCCCTGCACAGGCATGATCCAAGTATGGATGAAATGTGACTGGACAGAAGGTTAGGATCTAGTAGTGAGGCTGAGTGGGGAAACCCAGAAGGCCCATCTGTTCATGGGCTTCCGCATTTCTTCTCCTGGATGTCTGGCAAGGCCCCTTCTGAAATCAAAGTCAATCATCTCATCGGAGGAGGTAGCCAGAGAATTTCTTTTAAGCTCAGCAGCTCCATGGAGGATGGAAGAGAGGAAGCTAGATTATAATTTTTATGATCTGCCTTGAGGAAAAGATATTCTGCTCCATACGGCCTGGAAGGGAGTTACGAGCCAGGAACCATGGATGGAAGTAAGGAAATGCATTTACCATATCACACCACCCTACCAGGACACTGGTTTGCTTTGGAAAAAAAACCAGATCTAAACGGCAGTCAGGTCACCTTTTTGGAGACTTCAAGACCAGTGGTCTATCTTCAGCTGGGTTTGTCACTTGGCATAAGAAATAGGAAGAAAAAAGAAATACAAGCAAATCCATTAACTCTCTGCACTCATCTATATTATGGCAATCTTGCTTTTTTCTACGAAGGCCTCTTCCCCTCAATCGCCTTATTCCACAAAAGCTGATGTTGTAACATTTAGTCAGCTGTTTGTTACTTGGTTGGTTGGTTGTTCCGTAGTCTCCACATTATCCACGAAGGCTGTGTCCTGAACCCCAAGTGGAAGCTTGAGACTGGTTGGTACCCAGCCCTATATATACTGTGTTTTCCACCCTATGATAAATTTAAACATAAATTAAGTACTGTAAGTGATCAGCAATTAATAATAACAATATGTTGCTTTAGAAGTTATGTAAACACGGTCATTCTCTTTCAGAATATCTTATCGTACAACACTATGATGTAAGACAATACGAGGTCTCCAAGAAGATTTGACGTGAAGTCCACAGGTGCTCCTACACAAAGTTACGTGGCCACAAGCACTGCAGCACTCAACAGTCCAGCTGAAAAGCAAGTCAGCTACTAAACACCTAACAGGCAGGGGATCAGGGTGGCTATCCTGGACAGAGGACTGATTTATATCGCAGGTGAGACAGAGCTAGACAGTGCGAGATTTCAGCAGGGCACACTTTAAATATTATGTGTAGAATTTTCCACATATTTTCACATTTTGGTTGATCATGAGTAATTCAAATCACTGAAAGTAAAACCACAGATAAATAAAAAGGACCTACTGTGTATCATGGGTTCTAGAAATGGATGGAAATAAATGTTATCAAGACAACTCACTAGCTATTTGGGGAAAAATCAATTTATATACTTATCCTACTTTAGAGACAAAATATATATGTTAAAATATTTTAAAAGGTTTTAAAATTAGAAGAGATTTTTTTAAAATGAGGTCTTGCCAGGCTTGGTGACACATGCCTGTAAGCCCAGTACGTGGGAGGCTGAGGCAGGAGTACTGCTGTGAGTTCAAGGCCAGCCTGAACTGCATTAGCAAGTCTCAGAAAAAAAAAAATGAGGTTTCTGTGTTGATCTCAAACAATCTTCCTGCTCCAGCTTGCCTAGAAGCTGGGACTATAGATACTTGTGCTGTCATGACTGGTCCAGATGTGAATACTGACCTGATTTGTGTCTGAGAAGAACCTACTATCTTAAAAACAAAATGAAAAAAATTTAAACTTTGTACATTTTATTACATACAAATGAAGAAAAACTATTTTCAGATAAATAAAATCTAAGTGCAAGCTGGAAGCTGGGGAATGTCCATGGTAAGTAAGTTAAAAGCCAACTTCCTCAATTTACCGAGAGACATATAAATCAATAAAACAAACTGTGCCAACCCTGCGCCACATTGTGCTGGTGGCCGTCAGGCATGCGCCCTGCCATGTCCCTCCCTTCTCGGTTCCGGCAGCAGCAGTGTGTCCGGGCCAGGGCTGGATCCTGGCTGAGCCACGCGTAACAAAGCACTTCAGTCCCATCCCCTGGTTTCTTAGCTTCTTCACAGCTAACGGAGGCCTAAACTCTGGTTCTAGTTAATGACACATAAAAGGAGAGATATGCTTGGAAAACATCTGGGCAAGATCTTATCTCCATGATAAAAGGAACACTCGCACCCCTGGGTCTGCTTTCCCCTCTTCTTCCTGCCCTGAACATGAATGTGATGCCCAGAGAAGCTGTAGCCGTATTACATTACAAAGACATCTGTCCTGTTTAATGTCCCGAAACCACTAAGCCAGCTAGCAGCTGCCTAATTCCAGTTGTTTTGTTATGCCATAAAATTTACCTCCAATTTCTTTTTCTTTTTGAGACAGGGTCTCACTATGCAGTTCAGGCTGGCTTGAACTTGCTTTGTAGCCTAGGCTGGCATCGAACTTGCAGCAATCCTCCTGCCTCTGCCTCCTGAGTGCTAGGATTATAGGTATGCGTCACCACACCTGGTTCCAATTTCTTAAAGCTGTGTTTAGCTTTTCTGTTGATTGTGATGAGAATTCTAGATGCAGAGCTAGATACATAAATAGGCAAAAATACGAATAACATGCATAAATCAAGAAACACAAATGAATAGTAAATTTATAAAGAAGTTTAAGTTTGCTGTAACCACAACATTAGAATCTAAATAAAGCACATGAAAAGTAATTTCCTACAAAATTAGCAGATATGAAAAAAAAAACACCGTCTAGTGCTAGGAATAGTATGGTAGACACATACTAATATGGTAAAATAATCTTGGAAAACAACTTGGGAACAAGTAACAAAAACTTAGAAAACATTTACATCATTTAACCTAATTATTCTACATTTTGAAATTTACTCCAGAGAGATTATTTGAATTAAGACTGTACGGCCATGGCCATACCAGCCTGAATGCACGCACTAGTTTGCCACAGTGTCGTTTAACGTACAATAAAAACACACTGAGTAAAACATCAATGGAACTAAAATAATGGATAGTTAACTAAATATATAATTATGTATTTTATATAGCCACTCGAGTCTTTAATTTGAGGAGGTTATTTTTATGTTCTAATATTATATAAGGAATATAAATACAAACAGTACGACTATAACTATGTTAAAAGTGAATGCGGGAAAGACAATTTGAGTTTCGTCTTAAACACACAGTTAAACACACTCCCCATATATTCTTGAGAACAGGTTCACAATACTTAGAAGGTAGTTGTTTGTACCCACATTGTTCCCAATAGCTAAATAGTGAATGATCCAAATTTCTATCAGTGGATGAATGGATAAACCAGCTGTGGTACATCCACATAAGAGAATATTATTCTAGCAAGGATCAAAATACTGATATATGCTGTAAGGTGGAGGAACCTCAAAACCATGTTAAGAACCCAGGCACAAAAGGCTACTTTTTTCCTTTTTCTTTCTTGAGACAGGATCTCATCACGTAGCAGAGTGGCCTCAATCTTGTGATGCTCCTGCCTCGGTTCCCCTTGGTGCAGGGATTCCAGGCCTGCACCATCATGACCAGGACGGCTGTATTTTATAGGATTCGATTAATACGAAATGCCCAGAATAAGTACATTCACAGAGATGGAAAACTGATTAGCGGGTTCTAGAGTTAGGGGCAGAAGGGAAAGGAGAGTAACAACCTCACACGTTCTACTTGAGGGTGACAAAAACGTTTTTATACTGCATAGAGGTGGTAATTGCACAACACTGTGAATGTACAAAATGCCATGAATTGTTCACTTCAAAGTAGATAATTTTACATTACATGAACTTTAACTCAATAAAAGATTCCATAAAAAGTAGAGAGCCACCATGGGGAACGGAAGAGAATCCAGCAGCCAAACCACGCCCTCCCGCGGGCCAGCCTGTGTGTGCCTGGGAGACAAGGGTGCCACCCTCCGCCCCCATAAGCAGCAGGCTGATTCGGGGGAGTCAGGCTGAGACGACAGCGATGGAAGTGAACAGAGCAACTTAACGCTGGAACTGCTTGCCCTGCAGGCCTACAGCTGGTAGTCTGAGCATCTATTTGGAGGTAACAATACGCATCATAGCAACTGTGCGGGATCTCCTTCTGTCTTATTTTTGAAATCCAATGTTTTGTTCCATTGTACTGTTTGTTTTATTCTTGTACCTGGTAATCTGAGCAACTATTTTACGATATGCAATATAATGACCATTGCTAAATTCCTATCATCTTGTTTTGAAAACTTATATAGCTATTGTTATTCTTTGTTATTGTTTTACTTTTGTTGTTTTTTGATTTGTTTGCTTCTTGAATTTTCTGTTATTTTTTTTTCTTTAAAATAAAAAAACTTGAAAAGTCACCCCCCCCCCCAAAAAAAAACCCTAATTCCAGACCATTCTGGCTCCAGGGAAGGCCGAATAACCACTTTCTATCCCTTCTCTCCTCGCCATGAAACATGGATAAATGCACAGAGCAGTTACCTGAGGAACCTAAGTAGTCATATGCACATGGTGAAAGAAAAGCAGCCATGAACTTATTCTTGTCTGTGTTGAGGGCAATCCAGAGTCGGAAGTGGGCACGGTGTGAATGGAGACAGTTCCTGGGAAGACCCCTAGTTCAGGCTGGAGAGCAAAGGCAAGGTGTCCTGACCGCAAGGGCCGTGGTACCAGGGCCCACGGGCGCTGGAACTGCGGGAGGAGAGGCTGAGGGCTGACGGGTGCTGTGGTGCCCAGGGGGCGGCAGGCGTCCTTACAGTGTACTCTCCTGCTGGAGGGCAGAGCACTGAAAGGGGAGCGCTAAGGAACTACAAAGTCAGGGAAGACTGCAGGAGAGGAGAGGAGCCCGCGGGCACAGCGCTGTGAAGTGGTGAGGGAATAAACTGTCCATCGGAACCGGATATCCAGGAGGACGCCCTTCAGGTATGAGAGTGAACCAGATTTACACATAAAGAAACACAGACTCCGCTGGGAGCAGACTTGCTGCAGGACTTCCTAAGGGGAGTTCTTCAAGTGTGAGGGCAAGTTTACCAGAAGGAAACTTGGAATAGCTACATTGCAAAAGAGCTACAAGAAGTAAATTCAGGTAAACAGGGTCTTTCCTTAGCATTCATGGGGCAAAGTCCCAGAATACCCTATTACCATTACCACCGTAAATGCCAGCATCTGTAGAGTTTTAATTGTTACATAAAATGGCATAGTATTTGAATACCCCTCCATATACACCATATACACACATCCTCCCACATGCTTGAGTCTTCTGATCTAGATTACTTGCAAAATCTAAGGCAACGTAAATATTACATAAAGAGTTGCGTACTATTTAGGAAATAATGACAAGAAAAAAGCCTGCACATTTTTGGTACAGATGTAATTTTTTCAAGTGTTTTTGATTCATGGACTGGGATCACAGTTCACTGGTAGACAGCTTACCTGCCGTCTGCCAGGCCCTGGGCTCATGCCCAGCACTGCAGACATGTAAATAAAATAACCGAGTGAAGAAAAATTCATCGTCCCACAGATCTGGAGGCCAGAGATGGGGGGGGGGGGCGCGCTGTGGTCCCCCTGAGGGCTCACGCCGGGCCTGCCCAGCCTGGCTCCAGCTCCTGCTGTCCTTGGTTTGTGGAAGCCTCACTCTCCTTGGCTCATGGCATTTCCCTCATGCCTTTCAGTGTCTAAATATTCCTCTTTGTAAGGACAGCCTTTATATTAGAATAGGAGCCACCTCATGACATAGCGATTTCATTTTAATTGATTACCTCTGTAAAGTCCGGAACTCCAAATGAGGTCACATCCTGAGTACCGAGGATTAGGACCACAGCACATATATACATACACATTATATTGTATATATAGTATAAAATATATTTTATATATAATGTATAACAATATATAAATATAAATGAAATATATTTCTAAAGAGAACACAGTTCAGCCTCCAAGAGGAAGGCTGGTTTGATATTTTAAAATTTGTTACTTTACACTGCCATATCAATAGTCTAAGGAACAAAAATTATATGATCATGTTAACTTATATATTTAAAAAATGGACAAAAAATTTTAGCAGCAAGAAATAGAATCTGATAAAATGCATCTAAAACAAAACAGAACCACCACTTAGAGCTAACATCACACCTAACAGTGAAAACCGAATACTGTACTTGGCTACAAAACAAGGATGTATAATTTCAACATTCTTATTCAATATCATGTTTGAAGTCCTAGCCAATATTAGACAAAGAGAAGAAATAAAACACATGCATATCAAACATAAGACATGTACCCAGGGCACGTGATGATGCCTGTAATCCCAGCACTCGGGAGGCTGAGGCAGGAGGACTGCCATGAATTTGAGACCCAACTGGGCTACATAGTAAGTTTGACACCCTGAGCAACACAGTGAGACCCTGTCTCAAAAGAAAACCAAACCAAATTAAAACAAAACAAAACAAATGTAAGTAACTGCCTTTATTTGCAGATGACAATTGTTTACATAGATTACCACTCAAAAAAAAAAAAAAAAAACTACCAAAAACTAAAAGACATTGTGCAATAAGTGAGTTTAGCAAAGTTGAAATGTAAGCCTCATGCTGGTAGTAATAAGAGGTAGGGCCTTTGGGAAGTAATTAGTGGGCTAAGATTAGCACCCTTACAAAAAGCCTTGAGGGGGAGACTCTGGCCTCTTCCGCCACGTGAGTGCACCCAGAAGGCACTGCCCACCCTATTAGGTACCAAACATACCTTGATTGTGGACTTCTCAGACTCTTGAACTGTCAGCAGTACATTTCTGTTGTTTATAAATTGCGCAATCTAAGGTATTTTATGATAGCTGCACAAACAACTGAGGAAAAAACTAGAACCTCTATACACTGATGGTAGGAATTCAAAATATTATAGGTCTGGGGCAAAATAATTTGGCAGTTTCTTATAAAGTTAAAAATAAGAGATCTTTTGATTTTACTCCTAATAAAAACACAAATCTTCACACAAAAATCTGCACACAGACATGGATAGCAGCTCTATTCAATATCATCCAAACCTGGAAACACTACAAATGTTCTTCAGCAGATGCCTGGATAAATAACTGCGATGCCCATGTATCACGTAATAGAACATGTACCACTCAGCAATCTGAAGGGATGAATTACCGATACATACAACTTGGGCAAATCTCAAAGCCGTGTTACAGAGTTAAAGAAGCGAGTTTCAAACGGTTACGTCCTGTGTGTTTTTCTATTTATAAACATTCTTTAAAAATAAAAGTATAGTAATGGAGAACACAGAGCAGCTACCAGGATAGGTAATTTACTCTCTTCCCATTACTCTCTTTTCCTTCCACTGCTGATAAATGCTTTGTTTTGAAGTTGAAACCAAAGAAAACTGGACAGCAATCTTTAAAAATCACAACTTTTTAGCTCTCAGTTTCGTCTTTCATCACTAGAAAGCTGTCACACAGTGGAATGAGGAAGTTGGCTACTGCTTGGCGTGCCAACTTAATATTTGAAGGGCAGCCTTGCAGTGGGGTTGTTGGCAATGTCAACAAGGAAACATTCCTGAGAAGGCGAGGGAGCCGAGCGCGGTTCTCAGATGCCACAGGCTGCAGCCCTGGATGCAGGTGAAGGACAGAATTTCCCCAGGCGTGTGAAGGTCAACGCTTAGGCAAGGCTCTCGCCACCGCTGCCCAGTTTTAAAGCATGTGTGTGCTAACAAGGAAGAAAAACACTTTCTTCTGGCCCTCGCCTGACCTTCCTTTGCCCTTCATGTGGTTCTCGGTTAAGGATGTCTATGCTAATGAGGAAGGAAAGTATTTTCAGACTAACTCAAGCGGTCCTTCTGTTGTTGCTTACTGGTTTCCAATCTTAGTACGTGTGCTGCGGAAGCAACCACCCCTTTCCACGGCTTCCCAGACCTTTCTTTCCCTGTCTTGTAAGCATAAGTCCCAGTTCATCTTGCTGGGTAATGAGCACACACTAAGTATGCGAGGCTCTCCACCTGAGATAACCCTCGAGCCCAGGGCTCAAGGATGGTGTACGATTTACTGCGCACCAACGCACACGTGTATACACTAGTATACTACAGTTCTTCTACACTTAGACATTTTAAATAAAGAAGTTATTTTAAAAAACATTTGTAAAGGTAAAAACATTCTGCATTTCATTATTAAAAACTGTCATCATTATTTTTTATAACACAATAAATGCAAGAAATAAAATAGTAAAAGAGTTCAAGTCAATTAAATATCATTCCCAAGACAGCAAGCCTAACAATTTAGACTGCATCCTTACAAAACACATATACACGTTTGTTAACATAAGTGGTGGTCAGAAGTTTTCCTATATAGGAAGCTACTGAAAATTGTCCTTCAATATTTATTATTTCATTTTCTTTAGGAATAACCATCCTCACCTTTTGGTTGGGCACATGACCTCCCACAATAGTCTGTTTGCTATTTTCATGGTCAGTGGAAATACCAAGAGCTTTAATAGGAGAAGATTTTGCTCATGGCTTTGTTACAAGCCAGAAGGGTGATGAGCGGGAAGTCACAGTTTTCTTGTACTGTGGGAGGCAGCACTACAGCGACTGCTTGCTGACGCAGTTGCAAATCCAACAGTTCCCAGCTTGCTAGTGCTTCTCAGGACAGTTACTTGTCCCCCTCGCTGAGCTTCCTCTCTAGGGTGGAGATTTATTCAAAGCCCCCAAGTCATCAGGCTGCTGTGAGAATTAAATGAGACAATGCATCCACACAGCTGGGCAGAAAGCAAATGTTCAGTAAATGGTAGGCTTCATTAGAGTTCTTGTTCCTGCCTTTTCCCAGCCCTGGACTGAGGATGAATCCAGCAGTGCTCTACACTGAGTCACATTCCTAATCCTTTTACAAACTGCTTTGAGACAAGGTCCTGCCAAGTTACCCAGGATGGACTGAAACTTCCAATCCTCCTCATCTAGCCTCCAGTATCTGGGATTATAGGACAGGTGTGTGCCTCTGTGTCTGGCTTTTGCAAGCTTTGGAAAAATAAAATTAAAATCCTGGCAATACCAGGTTTAGGATGAGGCTAAAAACAAACATAACTAACAAACTTTAAAAATTAAAGGATGTATAATATCACAAAGCTTAAAAAGGACACCACAGTTTGCCCTTGGGTTATGGCCTATGTTACCATAGTTGTCCTATGTGTATTGCCCAGGGAGACCACTCCAAAGGAGTAACATGAAGAATAATCTGCAAGAAACTTCCCGCCTTGGTTAAGGGAATTAACAAATTCCCTATTGTTGGAAAGCACAGCCTCCTCAGAAAGTCATGGTATTAATCTGACACCACTGTCACATGGCAAAACACTTAAACCTGTAGGGCACACCTTTACTTCTAGGCACTGATTTCTTTTCTTTTCTTTTTTTTTAATTTTAAAGAGATTAAGACAAAACAGGACGTAACAAAGCAGATCAGAACAGAATAATGCAAGCGACACAGTATTTCACCAGAAGACAATCCGTAATTAACAGTGCCTATCATAATGTCTCTTTCTTTGAAATAGTTGAGCATAACTTCATATATAATAGTATCAAACATAGAAAGATAGTATAAAACCATTGAAGAGAATGAAAGTATTACAGGGCATAGAGAACCAAATAACAGAAAATGAACAATGGCTACTATATTATCTCATTTTCCATAGAAAATTTCTTTATATTATCACACATATACAATCGAATAAGATACAACATGATAGAACCAGAGGAAACAGAAGAACAGACGCATGGCAGGACTCCACAGTAAGATGATATTAAATCAGCACTGGCTATTATGACTTATTTTCTTCAAAATAGCTGTTCATACCATCACAGATAATAACATCAAACAAAACAGGTTAAAACCATTTCATCTAATGAATGAAAACATTATAAGGCTTCAAAGCAATGTAATGGGGAGTCATCATTACCATAAATTCTTATGTGCTCTTACTATTTCTTACAGTAGGGAGACTATACAGTATTTATACATGTGAGTTTGATTTATTTCGCTTATGAGTATGGTCTCAAGTTGCGCCCATTTATTTATAAATATCTTAGTGTGATCATTCTTTATAGCTGAGTAGTACTCCATTGTATAAAAATACCACACATTTTTATCCATTCCTCAGTTGATGGACACTTAGGTTGTTTCCAAGACCTGGCTATTACAAATTGTGCTGCTATAAACATGGGTGCACATATATCACTGTGGTATGATGTTTTCAGTTCTTCTGGGAATATGCTAGGCACTGATTTCATGGTCCCTTTTCCAGTCACACAGGGCACCTCTCAAATGGATTACATTGATATGAGCACTTCATTTACAGGCTCTGCTATCAATAAAAACATTCACCGACTGAAGCCATTTAGGACAGAATCCGCTTTCATTCTCTGCCGTAATCTCATAGCCAATATTGTCTGGCATATAGTAGAATTCCTGACAATTAGGGATTTGGTGTCTCTTGAAATTCTTATCTCTTAGGGGCAAATTTCACAGGCCAGCAGAGAAGAGGCCAGGCAGAAAGCCAAAGACAGACAAGAGGCTAGTGTATCTGGCTTTTCATCTTTGCAAAATGATGCTGCTTCTACTAGCTATGGACCATTTCACAACATTACAACATACAGTAGCCTTCAAAACTATGCAACATCTCAAGGACACGAGTGTAAATCAATCAGAAACAAATAAATTATGGAAAAGCTTTCTGGGCTGTAATCTTACTATTGAGCAAAGAAGGTCTAAATCTAGACGTCATTTGTCAACCACATTATATCAAGCATCGTAACATCTTACATTTCATAAGTTTTCTGTAACAGGAAAAGTAAACATTTTTGTCTTCCTGGTATCTGTTTCCTGCTTACTGTGGTGATACAAGCTACAGCAGTATGTTCTCTTTCGGAGTTTCATTCATGAGAGCTGTTGATGGAGGTGGGGTGGTAGGGGTTGTAATTGTGGTTTTTAAAAAACTGATTTTAAAAAAAGATATTTATGGGACTACATTTATAAAAATATGTGCTAGTTGAGATCACATATATATGTGTATGTCTGTATACATACATATGTAGTTTTGGAGCCAAATCAATTTTGGTTTAAATTCTAGGTCAATCATTTGTGAACCATTTCCTGGACAAATTCCCCGACTTTTTTAAATTTAACTTTCCTTTCTGTAAAATGCCATTGACAATACCTATCCCAAGGGATGGTTGTATTATTCAGTACTGATGGATAAAACAGTTTTGAAATAGACCTTGATTTGAGCTGTTTAACGTGGGTAAGATACTCAACTGCTTAATTTAGATGAGATACTCAACTTGTGTAAGTTGCTTTCTTCTCTGTGAAATGGGAATTAAAGAGTGTGCCTAAAGGAGTTACTAGGAGGATTAATTAAATCTGTGTAATATATTTAATACAGTACCTAGTGTACAGTTAAAGGCTACAATAAACGTTAGCTGTTATCATTACTGCAATAATTACTGTTATTATATTAAAAAGCAGCAGTTAATAAATGTTGATGTGGAATCTTTTCTACCTTCGTCTCAGACTAATGAGAAATACCTAAAAATTAGACAATTGGATCAAAGGCAAGGCATATCTTTATAGATACATTGTGATACTGCTCACTCAAAGGCTTGCAGTTCACTTATGTTACTAACATCAGACAACCTGTTTCACTCTCATTATCACCAACAGTTTTTTTCTGTTATTTTTAAAGGGGCAATGTGGTATCTCAAGATTGCTTTTTCATTTATTCCTGTAAGAGTGAACATTTTCCCATCTGTTCTGTTTATTGTTGACTATCTTCTAGAGTGAAGATTTATTTCTATCTTTTTGCCTATTTATCAACTTGCAGCTTGGTGATTTTCATAAAATTTGAATAAACTGAATGTATTAGAAACATTAACTATTATATTTAATGCAAATACTTTCCCATTAAGCTGGAACTCAAGAAGTCTGGTAGGGATGAGGGCAAATCAGGGAAAGTTCTGTGTTCAGGAGCAGTTCCGTGCACGGGGTCACCGTCTCCTCTGTTCTCACAGTTTCAGCGCCCACGTGAACATCTCTGGGGCTGTGTGTCACTGTACACCTATATTTATGACTATGGGATATTTCTTCTTGTCTTATGGACACCTCAAGTCTATTATAGATACAACTGACTTACTGAGATATCCTCCAACTAGCTAACTTATCCAACTCCCACATTTGGTAGTCTATAATCCTAGCCAAGCGATTTTGAGGGTGTTTGTTGATACTGTTTAGTAAAAAGGCCCCTAGAGTATCTCAAACAGGTCTCCTGACTTGGATGTTATTGTGTGTAGATTTTTTTTTTTTTTACTGGTACCGGGGATCGAACTCACGACTCATGGCTCACAACGCAGATGCTTAAGCTGCTGAGCTAAATCCCCAGCCTCATGTAGATTTTTTAAATTTTGGAAACTACTAATAGAGAAAGCAGAAGCAGCAGCCAAGGTGACATTTATCCCAAGCCCTTTCTGTGTGCCAGTATCTGCTACTAAGCAAATGCATGTGAAGCACAGAAGTAGAAGAGCCCTGTGTAGCTGCCATCCAGGCATGAGCAATTAATAAACAGGAGGGGCTGGGAACTAACAAGGGGTAAAGAAAGTACTAGAAATTACTACTTTGGGGATTTGGTCTAACCTTCTATCTTAGTTTTATAGTTTAATGGTGACATTTTTGAAATTGTTTTGGTAAGTACTTTAGTATTTTAAGCGTTAATATTGATTTTAATATTAATATTGTGGCTTTTCCTTGCTGATGCGTCATTTAGGATGCGAACAGTGTGAAATCAGGAAATGTGCTACACTGTTCATTCTAAAATCTAGTCCAAACCAGGCCTGTTGGTGCACGACTGTAATTCCAGCACTCAGGAGGCTGAGGCAGGATGACTGTCCTGAGTTCAAGCCCCTATGGGGTATATAGCGAGTTCAAGACCAGGCTGAACTACATAAGGAGACCCCCTCTCAACCAAGAAAAAAAAAAAAAAAAAAAAAAAAGGAAGAAAGAAAGATCTAGGCCACTGGGCTTTGCCATCAATGTACAGATCCAGCTGCCTCCAAAGCCAACTGAACTGGGCGACCTAACTGCTGTAGGGAACACACAATAACGCCAAGCATGAAGTCAAATATAAAAGGACAAAATTCCTCTGAATGACAATTACAATAAAATTAAAATAAATCATGTCACTCTTTCAAAGTCTATGAGAAGTCAAATTGATCACATCCTAAATAGAAGCTTCCTTCCCTGTATTTATTTCCTAATTCCACCTTCAATTTCCCAACGTACACTTGAGCCCCATCTTCAGGGACAAGGAAGGGTTCCAGTACCACACACAGAAGAGTCTGTCTGGGAGATACTTCTGTGCTGAAGCCACACTCCGTGCAGCTCTCAAGTTCTTCCCAGGGTCGGGGGTGCCCGTAAACATGTGAGCATCTCCAAGTGTGGGTGGCAATGGACGCACTGTGCTCAGGCGGACACACTGTCTACATCAGGAGAGTGATGAAGACTTTTTTTTTTTTTTTTTTTTTTTTTTTACGGCAGACTAGTATGACAGCATAAAACTCACATCCTCAAACTTCCCATTTCCCTCCGCCACCAAAACTCCTGCTGGGAGAGAAGAGTGCAGACGAGGGTTTCCCAGCCGGCGGGGGGTCCTGAAGGCTGAGGGCCGCGGGAGGACCTTGGGGGGCGGTGGGCGCGGACGTCAGGGCAGAGCCGGAGCAGCAGGGGCGCAGGCCCCCAGCGGTGGCCACCGAGGCCGCGGCTGAGCTCCGGGCGGTGCCGCCAGCCGGGTGCCGTCCCGTCTCTCACCACGGCACCTCCACGCAGGACCGCGCGGGTCCCCGAGCCCCGCCAGCGCCGGGCCGCCCTGCCCACGGAGGGCCGCCGCCTCGCCCGCCCCCGCAGGGCGCCCCCTCCGGCCCGGCCCCGCCGGCAGCCGGAGCCGCACGCGCCCGAGCCGGGCCGCAGCGCCGTACCTGAGCCGCGCCTTCTCCGCGCGCTGCAGCGCCTCGTGTCGCTCCAGCACCCGGAGGATCGCCCTGGCCTCCTCGCCGCTCAGGAAGCCGAGGTCGCGGCCGCCAGGGACTCCCGTCATGTCGGTGCGGGCGCCCCGCCGCAGCGGCGTCTCCGGAGCCCGAGCCGGCGAGTCCCGCCGCGCAGCGCCGACCGCCGACGCGGGGCGCCCTCGGGGCGCAGCGTGACGACACGCGGGGGCGCCCTCGGGCGCACCGACCGCACCTGGACGCACGCCGGGCGCCGCCCGCCCCAGACGCCGGCCGGGCGGGAGCAGGAGGAGCCGCCCCGCCCGCGGACTGTCCGGGCTCCCACCGCGGAGCGTCCGAGCGCGCAGGCCCGCGGAACCCTGCCGAGCGCAGGCCTGGCTGCAGGGCCGGCCCCAGCTGTCTGCTATGGCGGTTGCCGTCCGCTCTTACAACTTGAGTTTGGTTAACAGTAGGCGTGAAAGGGAGACACACTCATAACTACCCTTCCTGTGCAATAGCCAGGAGTTCCTAGAAACAGCACTGCGGGACACGTGGAGCCTCGGCAGCACAGACACTAAGACGCGCAAAGGCTGGAATCACCTGCCCTTGTGGACCAGGCTGGCAGAAACGCTAAAGCAGCAAAGCCTTGGAGAGAATTCTTCCCCAAGTTTCCAGTCTCTCATACACTGCCCCCTCCAGCACCACCACCACTACCACAGCCGTCCCACAGAAGGCATCTTCAGACTTTGGAAAACCAACCGACAAAACCCATTTATGATAGTTTAGAAGGTAATCCAGGACAAAGAATGGTAGAAAGCATCTCTCACTAAACTGAAATTTAATCCTTTGAACCACAGAAATCACTTGTCATTGAGAGTCAACTATTCTACGATGTAATGAAGTCATGATAGAAATTTTAAGACATTCATACTTATTTTAAAAAGTATCAAGTCTTTTCATAAAATATGTTTTTCTCCTCTTGGCTTCACTTCCTACACAAATACAGCTATGTCAGATGGAATTTCCAGACTCTGGATTTGCTCATTTTCTTGGTGGTAGTGATGATCACTAACATCTAAAATAAACTTCTGCATGCCTCTTTTTATGGTAAGTGAGCACAATAAAAATTTTGTATCTGTATCAAAAACATGAAAATAAACATGTTTTGGCCTCTGGGCCCTCCACCTACCCTGAGCGCTACTTAAGACAGCTAGTCATTCCATAACTCTTTGTGGATATCTGCTATCTGCATGAGGAAGGAACCAATGCTCATCAGTGTTTTACAACACAAACCTCTTTTATAAATTGTCTCTGCGTTCATAATGGTGGTTTGGGTGTGTGTTTTGCATATGGTGTTTGGCTTTTCTAGTATGTTCATTTACTCATTTATAAGGCATGTCCTTTGTTTTTGTTTTTTTTTAGACAAGATCTTGCTATGTAGGCTTGAACCTGCAGAGATCCTTCTGCCTCAACCTCCCAAGTGCTAGGATTACAGGCATGTACTATCACCCCAAGGCCACCTGGGACTTTTTAATGTGAGTTGCTGGTGGGTTTTTACTATTTCAACCAATATTTTCTGGTACCTGTTACATAAATGTATTGTACACTAAACAACGTAGTCCTTGTCTTTAGATAGCTTGTAATCCAATGGGGAAGATAATAGAACATAAAAACAAATACAGGATTAAAAAAAAAGTCCCATGAAGGTGTAGAAAAGAAATTAGTTGCAGTTAAATAGGTCAGGGGCGAGGGTGTGATATTTAGGTCGCAACATGAAGGATGAGATTTTAACAGGAAGAAACAGGACCAAGAGGAAAGACATCCTGGATGGCACAAGTGCGTTCTAGGCGTCTTCTCTTCTCTGTTCTCTTAGCGCCCCTGATTAGAGGCTTCGGCGAGCAGACACTGGGGAACTAAGAAATGCACATTCAGGGATTCGTAGGCAGTCTATTGGGTAGAGTATATATTCTCAGCAGAGTCAAAAATCTTACTCTTTTTTGTGTATAGGACACAGATATACACATAATATCTAGACATATATATAGTGAGCCTATGATATTAACATGTTGTGAAAGGGTGACAGATTTGAAAATTCTAAAAAAAGTCTGGTGGAGACAATAATGAAAAAGAGGTTTAAAAGCACTGGGCCAGCACAGAGGACACATGAAGAATAAATACAGCTGGGGTCTGACTGTGAATGCCACGCTAAGGGACCTGGATTTCGTTGTTAGGAGGCGCTGATATGGTTTTGAGGCTGATAAGGTTATTTTGACTGCAGGAGGCGAGGAAGAGGAGCCTGAAGATGAACCCAGAAAGCCACCGTGTGGGCAGCTGGTGTGGGGAAGGTGGCCGAGGGCCGGCGAAGCGGTGGGAGTGAGAAAGGAAAGGGAGTGAGAGGAGTCAGTAACTCGTTAGGCTGAGCAAAGCTTCACGGGGGGATCGTGGAGATTTCACGTGGAGGGTCGAAGGAGGCCAGCTGACCCGGTGGAACCAGAAACAAAGTTGGGCAGGGATCAGCTGTTCTTTTTAAGAATCAGAAGTGTAAGGGATGTGTAAGAATTCACCCACTTGGTGACACCCAGCAAAAGGCTACGTATGGGACTGGGATTCTTGAAGCAGGGTTGGAGAGGTAGAGTTGGAAGTCATTCATTCAAAACTGATCTCTAACCTGAGACAGGACGGGCCAGGTGCGGCAGAGGTCACGGCACGCAGAGCTGTCAACTTTGCCTGACCCACCTCATTAGACTCAGCACTGAGTCACGCTGCAGCCTGGGGTCATGGGGTGACAGGGCGCATCCTTAGGGTTTTATACCGACATTGTACACTGGGAGATTTATAAGGATTGACAGTTCCGGGAAACAGAAGTGAAAAAGAGGTTTAAAAATAGTTTCACTGAGGTTATAAATACTTTTACTGTTAAAGTAAAAATAATTCTGAAATGTTCGTTTTTATGGGCTTTTTCAGCCAGCTGCAAGTAGCCATTTTCAGTCTTCTACCTGGTAACCCTGGTTATCTCCTGCTCAACCTCTCAGCTAAGGAGATGGTCATCAGTTTGGTATTTATTTATTTATTTGTCTTTGAAACAGGGTCTCGTTATGCAGTTCAGGCTGGTCTCAAATTTGCAATAATCCTCCTGCCACAGCCTGCCAAGTCCTGGGATTACAGAAGTGCACCACCATGCCTGGCTCTAATTTGATTTTTAATAGTAACATGACTACAAAACAATCTTTAGAAAACACTCCATCTATACTCTCTAGGATGTTGTCCAGATTCCCAGGATTGGGCTCAGCCTCTTTTTTTTTTTTTTTTTTTTTTTTTTTTTTTTGTCTTTTTGTCTTTTTGAGATAGTCTCGCTATACAGTTCAGGCTGGCCTTGAGCTCACTTTGTAGCCCAGGCTGGTCTTGAATTCGCAACAGTCCTTCTGCCTTAGTCTCCCTTTTTCTTCTCTGAGAATCACCTGGCTAAGAGAGATACTGTCACACGATTGAAATGTCTCATTTTTGCCATCCACTCTGCATTCCCTCTTTGGCCCAGCAGGCTACTGGAGAAGCAGCACGATCGCGGAGGGATGTTTTTCACAGAAGCACATTTCTGGCTTGTTGAGCCTTCCTTTTGGATGATTCAGATGTTGTCTTCTCTTCCAATCACAGGTCACAGGTGTGTTTACGGGTAACGTCCCGTTAAACAAGCAAATACAGGTCAGTTTGAATAAAGATGTTGGTAACAGGTTTTTATTAGTGAATAAAAGGTAGAAATCTTCTTTTGTTGGTATCAGGAATCAAACTCATGATCTCATGTTTGCCAGGCAGGCACTTAAGCCACTGAGCTAAGTCCCCAGGCCCAGGTGTAGAGATCTGGGAGGTGAATTTGCAGCTGTTCAATCCAGTTTTCACTATTCTGACTGTTGAGTGAATACCTTTGAAAGTCTGGATAGGCTACATTTTTGGTCTCCTCATGGTTCCAGGCTTATGTCCACAATTATGGAGTAAATATTCCATGACACCCAACAGCTCAAAAATCCATAGGCCTTAACCTTTTTTCTAACTCACATAAAAAGATCGTAACAGAACAATTCTTACAAGATTTTGTAAAGCTTCAGTGAGATAATGTAACATAAAGCAAATATTAAGGTCACCACATAGTGCATACTCAGTAACTGGTACCTATGTATAATATTATTTGTACACAGAGTGGCCTACACTTTGAGAATTATTTTCTTTGATCATGAAGGTAATAACTATTAGGGTGAGGAAAATTGAAAAACACTAATATAAACATTAGATAGGTAGTGACCAAAATCTCAGGTTTGTTAGCAGAAGAATATCATGGAAGAATGTGTCCTGCAGCAAAACGGGCTCACTAGTGTTGTCCGGACCGCAGAGCACAGGGTGAGGCTTGGAAGGGGTGCGGACATTATCGGTGACCGGCTGATGGCACAGATGGTGACCACCGCAGGCTTTGCTCCATCAGAAAGTATAGAACAAGGAACTTCATGCTCTTTCCTCCTGCCAATGAGACAACATAGCATGCTCCTTCCACTGCTCTGAGAAGCGAAAGGTGAGGGTCATGCAGACAGGCCAGAGTCGTCTTACTTGTGAGAGTTCCTCACAGAAAAGTGAAGATCGTGTCCCCCAGTAATGCTCATCATAGGTAAATGTAAGAATACAGGAAAGAGCAAAGCCTGTGAATATCTTTGTCAAGTATTTAATAATTATATTAGTTAATAACACATTATTAGCTATTGATATCATTATTCTTGTCTTTACATTTGAACTTATATCTGGATATTCCCAGGCTTGCATAATATTCGTATTACTCAGGGATCCACCATACATCATTATCTTAAGGAAATCTATAGACGGCCACATAAAGAGACATTGTAGAAGACTATTCCACATAATACCACCTCTGTCTAGATCCTTGAGTAATATAACCTTGTGCAGGAGTTGTAAGAC